ATTATCATTATCATTATCATTATCATTATCATTATCATTATCATTATCATTATCATTATCATTATCATTATCATTATCATTATCATTATTATTATTATTATTATTATTATTATTATTATTACAATGAGAAAAAATGAAACATTTATTTAATAGGATATTTCATTACGCATTTTCAATTATTAAGTATTTAGTGAAAATATTATTATTACTAATAAAAATATTAAAATAATGTATTTGCTAAATACACTGCAACACCATCTGGATGCAAAATTTAATTTTAACATTATACTTACTGATATGTATTTGATTATTTAAATGGAAGCACACGATTGACTGAAGAAGGCTACGGAAACAAACAATGTAACTTGTCAACAAATAAAAGCTGTCACTGCATTAACAATAACTTCAGTAAAACGGCACAATGGTTAATTATTCTTTACAAGAAAAAACAGACATTTTATGATTGGAAGTGATAATACGATCATTTCGTAAAGCTGCCGTAGAATTTAATAGGATTCACTATACTACAGTTGCGACTATAAAGTTTTTGATGAAAGTGGAAGTGTAAGTAAAATTTCCAATCAACTTCGTAATCATGTGCTTCCAATATAACCAAATGATTCTGAATTATTTTAATGAAAATCCACGGTCGAGCATTAGAGATGCTAACATTAATTTAAATATACCTAAGGCAAGTTCGGTATTAACATCTAGACGCTCCAGACGTGTTTTGTTCTTTTCTAATGGTAAGAGATGAAAAGACAAAGAGATATATCTAGAGCATCTAGATGTCAATTCCGAACTTACCTCTAAAAATCGCATTACATGCACAGCTAGATGGAGCACCTATCCACAATTCTATGATGGTAAGAAACTGGTTGAATAAACATTTTGCCAGTCAATGGTTTGGACGTAACAGCCCTGGCCACCGCGGTCTCCAAACCTCACACCTCTCGATTTTTTTTGTGGGGAGATGTTAACAGTAAAGTTTATGTTATGAAGCTCCAAACGCGAGAAGAAGAACAACAATTAACAGTCGTCGACGTGTTGAAAAGTGCATAAGATTAATGCATGTGCTTCGTAAATAAATCTTCAATTGGTTTAAAAAATTAAGATTTAATTTTCTGCAACACCCTGTATACTATCACAACAAAAATTGGTATAGTAGGGTTTTAGATAGTCCTGAATAAGAATCCGGTGGAGTTTTTGTCAAAAAAATTGGTAATAATCTGTTTTTTTCTTCCCATAAAATGCGTCTCAGTTAGCCGTGACTTAGACCACGAAAATACCGAAATTATGCATTCTACTCCTTTTCCTGAATATGTATATCAAACAAAAAAAAGTTGAAACAAATCAGTCAATAAATAACAATTTTACATGGGTGGCTAATACTTAAGTCGGACACACTGTATGTGTAGAAGTAAATAAGAAAGAAATAATTCATGAAGTGCAAGCAAAGTGATATAAAATTGTTACACTTTTGAATTTAAGAAAGTATTTAAGGAAATATTTCCCTGGAATGTCTTCTTCCCATAATATTAAGTTTTAGTTAAATCAAGGTTGTACTGACTTGAAAAATTAAAATTGAAAAAACGCAAGTGCATTTAGCATTTCATTAATTTTAACAACCTTTAAAATTAATAATAATCAAATCCCTTAAAACATTGCTGAATTACATGCAATATAAAAAGGGGCGAATATTCGTTCTTGTAAATGGTGTCGTTCGCTTCTTCACCTTGTTTTTTCATTATGGAAACGTATATTTTTTAGATAGATAAGTAATTCTGTAATGCCTTTCTCTGTGGGATGAAGGATGGCACTGCCAACAATGGCCAATAGTAGTGACTGGTTGGTTTAGTGTAAATCTACAATGCACTGGATTTAAACGCAAAGCCGCTATTGACGAACAGTAAGCTTGAATTGTATGACTCATACAATCGTTGTGTATTTTGTCTTTACAGTTACTATAAACTATAAGAAATACATTCCTAGATGAATGAAAGTTTAAGTGATTTTGTCAGTACACATTTTGTAAGAAAAAGGTAGTAATATTGTTCTTCAGTAAGTATAAAGTAATAGTACCTAAATACTATTCTCACTCTTCTGTAGAATCTGATGTGTCCTTTTTTATGAAGTAATTATCATCTTTGTTAAATATGTACATAACCGCGAGCAATTCAATATACGGCTACATATTAACGTTACGAGCACTGAGGTGGGGAAAAAGTCTGTTAAATTTATGGATCAATAAATTGACCGTTTAAGTATGTTTTTGCTGAATATTAAAGGCATAAAGTAACATCTTTACGAACAACTTATAACTCTAAATATAGCATATATATAATGTGTCCTTTCCGTATAAATTGTCTTTTTGTTGTGTAACGAGGATAAGTAGTATACAGTGTTGGTGTGCTAGTTGTTATTTATATCAACATTAAAGCTAATTACGGCTAAGTTAAAGCAGTTTATATTACGTGTGTCTGATTCTGAATTATAGCATATTAACTGCAAAAATAACAATTTTGCTGCGCTAGGTATGTTAATTTACTATTCAGTAAATTGATTTCTTAAAACAAATTGAATGCTGTTGTTAATTATGTTGTGAGTTACCAAAAAACACACATAAAAAGCGTTATTTAATGGTCTGCCTTGATATTACTTTAATTTTAAAAAGACCAGGGAAATTTCCTTTTTTGTTTTGTAGAATATAAAATCCCATGAGAAAATAATTCAAAATATGCAGACTGGTTTATACTCTGGCATAAACTGTTAAATAAATTACTTTTATCGCTTATTCTTGATTGAAAATTTATATTCATTCGTTTCTCACCAAGGCTGTTAGTTTTATAAAACAGTCTCATACTCATATTTCGTGTTGTAACACTAAACGCGTTTTATTGATTTTTTGGATAAGTTTTTGTTTAACTTTCTTTTATTTGTTTGCTGAGGCCAAACAGAGAGGATCTCTATTTACCGACAATTCTCACTATCGATTCGAGATTTTTACACTCTTTTTATCTCGGCATTCAAACAAATATTAAATGCATTTGTACATAATCTATTTTTACTTAGGTGCGTAGGATACAAAATATGTTAGCATTGGTTGACTAGACTAGATGTTATTGTCATAGTCATAAATGCGGGTGTTTCTTAATTCGACTGCCAAAGATCTACAGAGTGATCTTTGATCAAAGTTGACACAAAAGTTTAAATAAGGGGTCAAATGCTACTATTTATGAAGACATGCTTGAAAGTAACTTAACAATGTCTCTCTTTAAAATCTAAATTTGTTGAAGTTATAGTATCCAATTCGGTACGTGTTTTTAGCTACAATCTTACAGGATCACAGGATTACAAAGAAAATGAGTCACTGGGAAAACGAACTCCTTCTGTCTCTTGGAAAATGAACGTTTAGATCCTGTAGCATGAAAAGGTGATAGTATTTGAAAGAAATATTAGTCTTGAAATATTTAGCTACAGAATACAGTTTTCCGATTTAAAATTAAAAAGTTTTGACAGAAGTTAGTTATTTGTGGCGTAGTTTTCGTTCTTGTCTTTATTTTTTAGGTATTGTGACGAAAATTTAAAAATTAGTGAAATAATCCCTTGTTCCAAAAGGATCAGTCCAAGGTTATTTTTATCAAAAAAGTGTTGTTTAACCAAAAAATTTCACACTGAAAATGCAGACAAATTCAGAATACAAAAACATCTCTTTATATCGCGCACTTTAAAAAGTTGTTGACGTTTCGAAAATCTATATGTTTTCGTCTTCTGAACTTTTTTTGACTTTTCGTTTTAGTTGCTTTAACAGTAAATTTGTCTGTTTTTGTCTGTTTCCATAGCTAGAGATATTACGTGATGTTTATTCTATTATGCAATAAATATTATATTGGAGAGACTTCTTGACCTGTGCATACTAGAATAGATGAACACAATAATAATAGTAAAAAACAAGAGTTTGAGAAATTTAAAATTTGCGATCATGCTTGGGAAAACGGTAATTCAATGGGGTTCAGCTAGAATTTTAGAAAAGGAAAATAATACCATTAAAAGAAACTTAAAAGAGATCGCTTATTTTGTTGAATGGCGAAAAATGTGTGTCAAATTATTCTATGAACTTGGATCTTTGCTGGCTATAGATTCTAAAAAATGAAGTAAGTAATAATAAAATAAACATCATAAATGATATCAATAATTGTGAATACAGGCAAAAATAAACAAATTTAAACTATCAAAGTAACTAAAACGAAAAGTCAAAAAAAGTTCTGAAGAAGAAAACAGATAGATTTTGCGCGATATCATTATGTGTTTTTATATTCGTCTGCAATTTATTTCACTAACTTAAAAAATTTTTCACAAGTGGAAAAATGCTCAAAAAATAAAGAAAAAAAGAAAAATTAAAGTTTACCTTCATATAATGATTGTTATTACCAAAAGTAACAGAACAAGTGAAACTGTAATATTATTCACAAGTAAATGTTTCTGAACACTAAAGATGACTATTTAAGACTTTCAACAAGTCGTAGATACCTAAACAATAGAAAAGGGAAAGAAAGTTGTAAAAATATATTTTTAATGTATTATTTTACTACATGTTTAGGATTTACCAATTATTACACAATATGTTTAGCGTTGCGAAAGATTTATTAGTATGTGAACCTGAATATCGGTGCTTTCATTGATGCACTGTACTTTACCCTTGGTAATAATAGTTACAATTTTAATTTTACTCGAAAATCGTGACTAAACAACCATTTTTTCCATTAAAACTGTTAATTGCCACAAGCTTTTAAACTTGCATTTTACAAAGACACAAAAAATACATTTTTAATCGAGGTGATTTGGAAATCCATCTTTTTGTCATCTTTATATAAATATGAGACAACAATAGCCACAAAATGCGTAGGATCTAATATGGTACTGTAACTTGCAGTAATTTGGATTTTGCAAATATTAGTATCAATTGGTAATCTGTATTTATAATAATCAAATTCTCAAACATGTGGTTTTCTGTAACATTGTTTCAATAATAACTTAATTTTATACAGTTCTCAACGACACTCTGGTAATAACACTACATTATATTAAATAGCATAGTGGAAGAAGGTAGGGGCCAAGATTCATGGTACGTAAACTACAGAATTGCTTCAATAAATCCAGGCATATATCTGCCTTACGTGAGGGAATTGTATAAAAAGAACTGGCACAGAAACAGACATGGGTAATGTAAAAGCGATGCCACTTCATTATAGGAATTTTTAGTAACGGCTCCCCTCATACGACGAGGCTCTTGTTCCTTCTAGTCTTATGTAGATGAGAGAGAGGACGTAAAAGCTTTAGCGCTAGCTTGGACCGAAGGAATCCTTGTATTAGTCCACGGTAGTGGCTTGTTTTTTGTCGGTCCGGGTGACATACCTTTGGCGGAGGAATCTTAAGATAAGGGGTTAACGTATGGCCAAGACAACAAGTATAGATAACAACGATGATCATCGTTCTCACGCTCTCAACTCCTTATTCCTGGTTCGTCATTTTTAGAATTGTGCTTTTTGCAATTAAGATTCAGATAGTGTTAAATCTTCACATTCCATTCCATAAAAGTTTTAATTCCTGCTATGGAAATTTACAGTCCCATAAAACCATACGCCGGGTCAATTAAGATTACGCGTACAAAATCGAAATAAAATCGATCCCACAATAAATCATATATTTAGCTCGGCCATAACTAATGTTCTTGTCATCCCCGAATCTCGATCAACCCTTTTTGTGTGGTGTATCTCGGGAGGACCGACAGCTGAAATATTACACAAGCCACGCAGACAAATGATGTGACTAAAAACACATTTATTCAACGTGTTATAGATATCTAACTATAATTTCCTGGGTTTATTAAATGTGCCATTACCGTCGATGGTATTTTTATCAGCTGCTAGTTTGTTCAAAATGACGACATTTCCATCACAATGCCGTTGGTTCGAACGTAGACAACAGCACTATGGTTAAAATGTCAACAATTCAAACATATTTTTCTTCAGATCACCCTTTAGCCTCCTCAAGACGTTATCATGTTATCACGACAATGAATACTTATACATTTTTTGTTGTTTTGTTGGTTTCCTTCGATATTACAAGTGTATTTTTTAGTTCATTGTGGTTGTTATATTTAACATATCCATAACATTTAATCTATTTGACTGTGCATATTGAGGATACTTTCTTATAAATGATTCTTTATTATCTGTTATGACAAAGCAAAACAAGTTTATAGAAACTTTTATTTTAGAGTAGAATAAAGTTTCATGTTTGTATTTATTGTTTCAATAGTTAAGTAATATGCAGAATTGCATTATACATTTTGATATCAAAACTCTTTAAATTTAAAATTTACGTACTGGCATAAAACTAGTTGGCTATGAAATAGAATTGCGAGAATTAAATGAATTCAGTAATATATTCGATAATTTAGAACAACTTTCGGTCATTAATTCCTCCTAAAATTTTAACACATTGAAAATTTATAGTTTTTGATAAAGTGACAAACAAAAGATCCTTGTTATTATTAGGGAAAGGTCTTATTTTCTCCAACTTTTCTATTTAATTTAAATCATAATTTGATTTACAATAACACTGTCATTCAGCATTTTTATTCTGAATTGATTGCAAAATTTATATGAATAGATTTTCAAATAAAAATAAGCACATCTGTTTTCTCTGCCATTCAGTGGATTTCAAGGATTTATCAAGAGCCACTTACTATACAAAACAAAAAAAAAGTATAAATCAGAGGCTACAGTTGTTTCAGTTTTTATGAAACTTACGGAAATTTGAATTTATTTGACATTTTATCTATGACATTAACTTTACGCTTACGTAAATACAATTAAGTACTGAAAAGAAAATTGCTACTTCGTAATACATAATAAACAGTTATACAATTAATTTGTGAATGATCGGTTGGGCAACTGAAACTGAATAATTAATAGTTATTACCCACAAGGTATTTTTTGAAATTTCAAATGTATCTACAACTAATTAACAAAGGAACAATGAATTATGTACTATATATGCAAAACTGCGGATATTGTATTGTCATTGTTGGTGAATTATTACTTTAGGAATAAATGTGACGGCATTTACAACCACAAGTATGCGGAATTGTTTTTTAAATGGGTTAACTGTGTGTGTGCCTATTGAAGTCTCCAACAGTGATTAAGGAAATGAAGGTTATTTATTGCAATTTAATTATCCTTTAAGTGATATTATTTTTAAAACAATGCATTAATAACGTTAGTGTCAAGTATTTTTGTTGACCTTCGAAAATGTTAATGTCGAAATAACATTTCTCAACAAAATAGTTGTTGAGGCACGTTACAAGTTTATTATAGATATTATGCTTGTAAGCCCCAAATCGCTACACGCAACTCGTTGACCAAATTTTACGAAATGACTCGTTAAAAGTTTGGTCACATCCGCGCGGACTGACACGAAAGATTTACAGGATTCACTTCGTGCCCATGTAAAGTCTGGCTTGGCGCGTATTCATCAGAAACTGTCAGCTACCGTCGCGTTTGATGGACGGGTTAGTTATCGCTCGAAAATCGTAACGAAATTGTTCGAATTTTTGCGCAAAGCTGCGTCTGTGGATTACAACCCCTGAAATTTACGATTTGCATTTTATGAATTCAACGTTGTTATCACATTAACAAAGTTTTGCCCAACGTCCTTTATGAATTTATTAGAACAAATTAAAATGTTTTTATTTTAATAGTGTTCATCCCCAGTTTTTGTAGATGAAACAGATACTTCGATGATTGTTGCTTTCTCGTAGGTGTATCTAGACATAAAAGTAAATCGTGACGTACCACCACATCGATCCCTTCCCTCTATTTTTGCTCCTTATCGTAACATCCCCAATGTTGGATGCATTGATTACGGAAAGCAACATCACAAATATCACTGTCACTTCCATGTCTGTCTGTCCACCCGCACACGTGCACGACACCGTCACAAACGCAAAAAATAAACAATATCACCTGAGTCTCACTATTTACTTTACTTGGGGGTAAGAGTAGGGGTGGTAAATGTCGAATATGTCCGAGGACTTACGAGTAATTACTTGAGGAGGAGTCAATTGATCCTGACCACCCACAGCTGAGTCCTTTGTGATACTGATGCTCGGGATATACCTGCACGTGTGGTCCTTTACACGTGGGTCCTTACTCCACCTCCGCGGAACTTTCGCGCCAATAGCCGTTCAAAGACACGCCCAAGGCCTTGCCTACTTGATCGAATTACCCGCCATTGCTCAATAAAAATGTAGACGGACACTGCCTGACGACCGGTATATAGAGGACAAATATCTACGTTTCCTGTGATTTTCACTTTTTACGTTGAGAAGTATTCCGTTATCCGCAAATAAAACCTTAATACTATTCCAGGGATTTACCTCTGTATCGCAGGAAATAAGTTATCCTTAAAGTAAATATTTCAAAGTTATTTGCTGAAATTAGAGGTAATCCTGCATGACAACTTGAGCGTTAACTTTTTAATGGGCGTTTATTGTTAAAGATTGTTTAGATTTAAAGTTGTGACCGCCTTTAAATTAAATATTCCTTCACCATGCTTTTAAGTAGCATCAAAATTTGAAATTTATCTGAAAAGATACTAGTACCAAACACATTTAAGGCCATAAATAGATGCATATAAAACAAAATAAAAAACTTATTTTATAATGTGTATGTAAAAATTCTGTTCTGTAAAGTTATTTTCTACTTCATGTAATTTCACTTAAAATATTTATTTGGATTAAAAAGTCTGGTAATTGCACAAAGCAATTTCCCACAAGGATATAATTTTATTGTAAAACTACAATTGTTTAATTGGAGTACAACTACTGCGATAATATTACAAGGATAATAGTGAAATTAAAGGAATTATTGGCATCATTTTAGTATAAAAAATATAATGAATATTTTTACTTAAAAGTGGAAAACATTCCAAACCAGAACAAATTTTTATTTTCTAACAATCAATTTCACGAGAAGAACATGAAAATTATATTTAAAAATTACACACTAATGTATTCTTTACTTAACACCACATATTGCAATGTAAAATTATCTCTCAGGTATAATTACATTAAACATGTAATTTCGTAATTTTTATTTAATGTATTTCTACAACACAGAAAGTAACAATATCACTGCAGGAAATAGTACTTCAAACTGAGTTCAGCCTTTATTTACATCTTTTGTGTATAAAAACCATTCCAAATTTGCTATGCAATAATTAATAAGTAATTTATCAATTATAGCAATGTATATGCTAGATGGATAGCATCTGATAAACAAAAGATCTCGTGTTATAACTGGGGAAAGATTCTATTTCCTCTATTTTATGTATTTAATACAAATAATAATAATAAACTAATTGGAACATCTCAGAAATTGTAATTGTAAAATTATAAAGCTTTAATTTAATGGTAGTTTAATTTATAGGTATGTCATCCAATGTACGAGTATGTATAACTGTAAAATTTAATCAACTAATGTTTTTACAGTATTTTTCAGAAAAACACTTCCATTTTAGAATTATTTTAGAAATTTCTTCAATATTCTCATCAATAACATATACAGGGTCGGAAAGTCCCCATGGTTCATCGGCCGTTACATGAGAGCGATAAAGAAAGTCATAGAAATCCGTGCGATAGAGAAAGATGGCTATAATGAAGGCGTCTAATAGTCACCGTCCATTTCGCCCTTCCACAAATAAGATCCACTTCCTGTACATATTGTAAATAGACTACGTCTTTATTATAATTAACTGCTTTTTGAAAACAAAAGAACTTTTTTAAACTGCGATCATGTTAATCCAATTAATCATTGATTTGTCATTTAAAAAGTGAACCGGTTTTTGTCACATGCAGTTTGAAAATTAATAAAGTTGTTAATAAAATTGTAATATGTTGAATTCAAAAAAAATACTTCTGGGCGCCGATTAATTGTGTTAGACAATAAAAAACACTTACCAGTGATCAAAATAATGATAATGATCTCTGATCGTTTACAAAAATTTCTTATATGTACCATAATTTTATTAATGGTTATACTGTATTTTTTTATATAATTTATGTTGACTGTTTAGATACACCTATCTATAATTAATATATTTAAAAAGATATGTTTTTTTCTGTTCCCATAATCAGAGTAATTATTATACAAAACTATTTTATGTTTATAAGACTTCATCATGCGTGTATGGTCAAAGACCGGATAAACTTTTTATATAAGAAATAAATATATGCTTAGACTCAACTATTAGCTAATGAGGTACTTCTTTCCATGTGACACTATAGTCAGGTATGCTAATTCGTCCAGTTATGCTTTCAAATTATGATGTGGAAGTAATGAGTGTCAGTTTAGTGTTCGACCATATTTTATAAATAATTGCTAAATACCCTAGCTTGTCTAGGAATCATAACGCGGAGTTAAGTGTGCTGTAATTTCCTTTAATGGATTGTTTAATACACACATTAAAACACAGGTTATTCTCCTTGTTAGGTATATCGTATTTAACGCTTGCTGCCGACATAGGTAAATAAATGTATATTTTTTGTTAACCCAATTTAGAATTATCACACATGGTATTTATGTCTTTGCAAATGCATAATACTAAGTAAAAGTAAAAAATATTCAGAAAGATGTAAATGTTGCTGAGTTTGAATATATGAATAGTAAAAGAGCTCATTTGAGCTCATTTGAAAGAACAGTCCTAAAACTGCAAAAACAATTTAATTAGTTTATCGTGGATGAATTTCATGTTTCAATTAGGTACAATCAATTTTTTTTAATATTTCAAAAAAACACAAAAAAAAATAACACATGATTTTATTCAATTTTATAACAGAGCTTTTCAGAACCTACTTAAGTTACAAGTGCCGTAGATGCCTTTTTTAAAGCAATAAATATATATATAAAAATACTGTTTTTAAATTTTCGTGTTTTCTTAGATTTTGAAGAAAATTGTATATTACAAAATTACTCTTCATTTCCGGACAAAGTTGTTATACAGAAATAATAATAAATAAATATACACCGAACATAAAAAATACGCACAGTTTAACATTGTTACAGTACAAATAAATTTAAAAAATAAGAACACTGGCCATTTAAAGAAGTCACAAATGAAAATACAAATAAAAACTATCAAATAAGAAAAAGTATCTGTGACTATTTTAGGAAATAGAATGTGTTGATGTTTACAATCTGATTGTAAACAATTTTCGAACGAAGGTTAACCTTCAAAGGTGTCTGTTTTTTTTTAATTTATTCATGCTGCTATGATCCTAAATTATTTATAAACATTTTTTGCGTATTTAATTTATGTTTATTTGTTATTATCATTATTGTTTATTGATCTTGTTCGAATTTAGTTATTTCTATTATTTGAAGCCCCTTTAAAAAACTGTAGTTTCTATTTCTATTATACGTATATATAACAAAAATAAAGTGCAAATATTATGCAATTTATTCCAAAATCTAAGAGAATAAAAATAAAAAGAGTGATCTCATCAGCTCATCACATATTGCAGCATTATCAAAAAATTTCAAGAACTTTATCTTGGAAATTGTGTATTTCTAGACCAAGATTTACATAAGATTATTTTTTAAAGTAATGTAATGTAAGTTTGCACACTTATCGGAAAATGATATTTCTTTGAGTTAGTCTTTCGTTATCAGTATCACATATTTCTAAACTGTTTTTGTACTTTATAATAATAAATGCATTTTCATCCTGGTTTCATTTCCTAGATAATATGTTTTAGAAAAATTACATTGCACAAACCTTTGAACATTATTTGAAACATTTTAAAGTAACTCCACGCTAAATGTTTTCTTTGATCATATTTAAGAAAGAAAAAAAATATTGATAACTATAAATACTAATTTTAATGAAATATAAAAAAAATTACCATTTTAAATATCAGTAATTTTCGTGTCCTACCAACTGGTAAAATCACAAAATAAGAAAAAGACAAAATCAATGACCATTATGTACATAACTATGTACATAATGGTTATTGATTTTGTCTTTTTGGTCAGTAACTGCCATCACTAGGTTTCACCAATATCCATTTTCGGTAAAAAAAAATTGGAAATTAAATATGTCTCTTATTTCTATGTCTTTTTTAGAAATATTCAAATCTCTTAATAGGCAGGATCTAAAATATTACTTGTAATTAATAATTGGAATAATAAGTTAACCTCGCTTTCATAATTTCCCCATAAATTACAAAATTGTTAAGTTGAGTATAAAAGCTAGAAGTCACATAGAATTATAGAAATTCACGGGAATTTTAGACGATTAAAATCTCAAATCGGATCTGCAAAAATACTTTTTATTAAGATTAAAGCAATTAATCCACAGGTCTTGAAATTGTCATTAACAAAACTGTGATTTACTTCTCTGAATATGAATCATATTTTTACTAATGTAGGAGGGAACTGCAAAAAATATGTTTCAAGTCAAGTAGTGTGTGTTTCTTGAAATAAATATTCATGCTTGAAATTTACAGGAATAGAAGATGTTCTTATTCTAGGCAAGGTTTTGGTACAATATTAGATAGTCTTGTGTAACAGTAATAAACATTTTTCTCCAAACTCCAAGAATCTCAAGTGTAGTTATTCTAAAGGAAGATTCCATTTTCATATATGAAATACGAATAAATTTGAAGGATTATAAGAAAATAAGGAAGTCAATGCGTAATAAAACATAAACGTGTTTTTGCAGAACACCAGCGAAACAAATCTGATGAATAGATTTTTTTTCTAAAAATCTCGTATATCTCCATGCCTACTGCTACACCTTTTGAAGATTAGAGTTTCAATTATTATCTATACAGTTCCTACCTTGCTTCCTTGTATTATTTATATTTTTTGTACGTTTGAAGGACAGGTATTCACTGCAGGTAAAACCAATAAGATT